TTGTGCTTCACAATGTTCGCACCACGCTTCATATGGATAATGAACAAGCTCATGCTGTGCTCTCTGAGCCTGTGTCGGCTCGGGTGGTTTCGCCACCCCACGCGGATGCCGCTCAAGCTCACTCTGAACTGCTACCTGCGCATCCCGTTGCATGATCACCTGCTGCTCTGCAATGTGTTTCCGCAATCTCTCAAAACACTCAACCTTGCGACCCCGGCAAGACAACCCCATCAACTCACACGCAGATCTGAGAGCCTTGAGGTCCGACTCCACGTTGAGCCGAACTCCATCAACTTCAACTTCCTGCTCCTGCAAGGGCACAAAGCACTCTGCGATGGGCGCTTCGGCGTCGGCTTCAATCACCGACGCTGGAACATCCTGTGACGGCGATGCCTCCGAGGCCGCCGAAGTCTTGGGCTCATAATCTGAAACCGCGAAGCCTAGCTCACCGGGGCTAAGCATGTCATTGTGCGCAATCGTGAGAACGAGGATGCAAGTCTCAGGTGATGGCAACAGCTGGGTCCTATCCGACATCTGCTCGATAGCCTCACAAAACTCTACAAGCTCCCACTCTCCACTAGCATTGCACTAATGTTGTCCGTCTCCACTTCAAATCGGATGCTGGCACAAACGTTGTGTCTAAAAACCGTCTTGAGGCTCCACACCAAGCGAAGATCTCCCCGTAGGCGTCGATGGATGTCCACGTCCTGGAAGGGTTGGTGCAAAGCTCTGCCAAAGGAGTGCTCGAAGTGACAGCGCGCACATACGGGATGAGAGTGATGCCTTGCTTGTACTCGATGTTTTGCCATTCTTCCCCAGCTGAAACTGACCTTTTACACACAAAGAGTTACGACGAAAACCAAGAGGAACACTATGCTCGCCGTGCGCCTGATCTCCCATCCAGCCTTCAAAACTCGACCTAGGCATACTAGCGGGGAGGTCACGGGTGCAATCAAGAAGGTCTCCTTGAGGAAGGCGCCCCCTCCGAAGTCAACGACTGCAGTGCGGACGTCCATGATCTCGAGAGGGGCACCTTGCGCATCAATGTACCCGCCGGAGTGTGTCGCGGTGCTCTGCTGGACTGATTCCCCGACGTGCCTGTACGCCAACGGCAAAACTGAACAATCAGCACGCTATCAAGAATGACCTGGTCAACAAAAGTCCAATCATCATCGCTGTCTGAATAGGTCATGTCAAAGGACTCTACATGCGCAACTTGGGTAGCGGGGCCTCCCGGAATGACGTGTTCCCCCCACCATCGGAGCAAGGCGACATGTCTGCTCAAACGCCCTAGCCGTGACCATGCGAATAGAAGCCGAAGAAAATGAGTGGACACCGTCTACCTCATCACACAGAGTTGTCAAATCCCACAAGTGCTGTCCTACCCCAGACTGGCGCTGCAATTGTCTAATCACTCTCGGCGGATTCGAAGCTGTAGTCGCCGCACCGGGCTGCGGATGAGCGGGCGTAGAAGCCGAAGACGACGAAAACTGCAATTGATTAACATGCTCTTGCTCCTTGCTGTCCTTGCTGTGTCCTTGATCAGTGCCTGGATCTGCTGCGGAAACCTCTCGCACCACACCTGCGGCGAGATCTCGGGCACACTGCCGGCAATCTCGTTTCCGATGTCCTGGTTTACGGCAATAAAGACAAACACTAGGATCAGCGCGATCTCCTTTCGAGCCTCTGCGGCCCTTTCCGATGCCTTGCTTGCCCTCAGACCTGCTACCATACGGCTGGTTGTTGTAGCCCTTGCCTTTGTTGTTGCCCTGGCCTTTGCCCGACGGATTGTTGTAGTACTGCTTGCCACCTTTCGGAGTGTTGTGGCTGTACTTGCCCTTCTGCTGGTCACCTTTACCCTTGCCTGGTTTTCCCTTTGTTGTTCTTGTCGCCCTTCTTGCCCTTGATTTGGCCTATGTCCATAGGAGCTGGCCCGCAGCGCGAGCTGCTATCCACTCCAAGTTCAAGGCTCACACGCTGACTCGACCAAGTCGTGCTCACCGACTCGTAAGCCAACACTTTCTCCCTCAGCTCTCGATACGTAGATGTTTCAGTCAACTGGACCTGCATCTGAGATCTGATGTGGCCGGGGAGCACTCGTAAGAGCGTCCCCAGCATAATCTCGTCCCCGACGTCCTTCGAGGAAACCTGAACATATTCTTGGGATAGCCGTTCGAGCCCTGCAATCTGTTCTCTCAACGTTCTATCCTTGCTGAAGCCTGGGTGCTGCATCAATGTGTTAAGGATAGCCAGGCCCCGTGCCTTACTGCGAGGGGCGTGCACTGTGACAAGCTGGTGCCACACAGTAAAACCATCTCTATCTGAAACGCCCTTCAAAATAAGGGCAGGTCGATGACGCCAAAGTCCAACCAAAATCGAATAAAGTTGCCGACTCCGAGCCTTGCCAGCATCTTCAAACAAACGAGGGTGAGTGGTTGCCGTAGGGGACTCCGATGAGCTCTCGACCAACTTGAAGTCTTCTTCATAAGCAGGGTCTGCGAAAAACAGCCATGCTTTGAATCCTAAAACAAACTCGCTCCACTTGCGGCAGTCCTGTTCTTGATCGCTCTCTCCAAAAGGGCCTGGCATGCGAATCACTTTTGAGGCTTCTGAGAAACACGAGCGACCTTCACCCTTACCTGTGCCTCCTGCTGCGGCGCTTGCTGCTACTTCAGCGGCTACGCCATCATCGACTTCGTCTTCATCGTCTACATCGTCAACGAGCGCAACATTTTTGAGAACATCTACTACAAGGAGGACTTCACCAACTTCGTGGTCATGGTGGGCAACATTTCTTTTGCTGGCGCTTTTGGTGGTGCCAGTGCGAGCGCAGCCACATCGTGATGAGTGCAGCTGCTTCTTGGAGGACCACGACATCATTCTGATCATACTCTTTGTGATCGTTTTCTTCCTGGGGCGATGGTCTTCGACATCGCGCACTTCTTCGACGTCTTCGAGCTCTACATCGACATCTACATCGACATCGACATCAACATCGGCGGCTATGGCATCGGCTGATGACGTGAAGGCGTCAACGAACGCCTCACCACGATCAACGACTACGTCAACTACACCTGGTGAACCTCGTTGTGAGTTGGCGGCATCTTCATCGGAAGCACCTTTGATTGCTTCTACAACGTTGACTTCGGTGGCACCTTCGGCTACGGTGCCCACTCAAACCCCTCCAATCCAGGATCCTACGACGTACTTCCCCACAAACCTTCGCTATACACGCCTTCGAAGGGCAGAGTGTACCATAGACCTGGATGCAACAACATCAAGAACTACCATCATGAAGCGTACACGCGTGAGATACATGCACGTTCGAAGTTGAGGCCTTGTAAAGTGTGTGGCCGCATGTTCCTTTGAAGCATGATACTCATGTATGTGTAGTGATGTAGTGCTAGGTGTCCGAGGGTAGTGAAACTCACTTTTGGGCTTGGTGCATAGTGCGTCGGCCGTGAGTCGGAAATGTTGTATGTGCGAGATTCCCAAAACCCAGTTGTTTCGTGTACAGTGTTTCGGGATCTCGAGGCGGGGTGATAAACATTTACCCTACCTCACATACCTGTATTTCCACACGTGTTTTCTCACTTGTTTTCCTACGGAAGCAGAGCTTGGACTCTTTACTCGTGCAGGCGTTTGGTTGCTTCAAAAGTTGTGCGACGCTTTTCAAGATCCTTGACTACGAACTTGAGGATGAGGTATGCATGAATTTCAGCGAATCTCCAATTGCAAGAGAGTACCAAAGCTATCGCATGCCAGAAAAGCTTGTGGTTCTCTTGTGTGACCTTCCACATAGGCCGCACGATGCAAGCAAGGAGAGACACGTACAATGTTTGGCTGAGTTCGTGGATCTACCGCCAGAAGAAGTTGATTGGGAACGCTACGAGGCTCTCTTCAAGGAAGCCACAGAGTCATTCCTGAAGAACAACCACGAAGTCATCGGGATAGCGCAATTCGCTACCGGGTCTGCTCGTGGTGCCTTTCACGCGTACCAAGATGCGCAAGATGCTATTCGGCATTCATTTCATGCGGTAAATTCCAGAGGACAGCTCCGCAAAGGGAGGCTCCTTTGGAGATCGCTCAAGATGACATCGCTGAAGCTATGGAAGCGGCAACTGCTGCGGCGTCTGCTGATCCGATCACGGAAAAGTGCCAGATGATGATGCTCGAACCGTGGCGGAGCCCGAAATGGAGATTGACAACGATGACATGATGGAAGAGGAACCTGAACAAGAAATTGAGGACAAAGATGCTGCTACCGACCAAGCCGAAATCAATGAACGACAACCAATCCTTGTCAGCGACAACACGCTCATCATTGATCCGGAGTTAGCTCAAGCAAGGATTCACATGCAGGTGCCCTACTACCCTCATGTAAAAGATGATAGCAGTATCGATTCTATCTTGCCTGCTGCATCTTACATGGCTTACATGGCTTACATCGTCGTCTACTACATGCACAAGAATTGGAAAGAAAACGCTCGGTGGCTCGGCAGGACATATCCTCAAATGCGAGATCAATTCCGACAATGCATGACGTATGACGTGACAGGCCAATGGGGAAGTTTTTTTCGGAAATCGGCCCACAAACAATGGTCTCAAGGGATGTAACGGACGAAGAACTCCTCGAGTACACCAGAGGTCTACGTGATCCTACCGACCCCGATGGCGTCTACATGCTCAACAAGTTCAGGACAAACCAGCTGTTGTCCAAGCTCATGCGTGGAGCAGTGCAGATGGGCTACGGCTACAACAGATCTCATTTCAATCCTGCGAATCACATGCGAGAGGAGAGAGGTGAGCACACCTCGCAAATGCATGCAAGTTGCTACTACCTGCTCGGCCAAGTCATTGGCAAGACCACGGGCCATTGCATGTACGCTTTGTTGCGTCCAATATCGAAGGGACCAGCTGAACATGCATTGTTCATTGACCCGCACAGTGTCGTCATGCTACTCGGTTTGAATGCAGCTCCAATTGCCCTGCTGGCACTGATGGTCGACTTCAACATTCAACTGCAAGAGAAGTTTGTCAACAAGTTGACCAAGAATCATGCAGCCAACAATCCATCCCATCCGCCGGCATTGGACCACAGCAGACCATCGCAGTACACGGCCCCCGGCCAAATAAGCATTCTCGACACGCCTCTGACGGAAGAAGAGGCTTGATGTGGCGAAGGCCAAAGCCAAGGCTAAGGCTAAAGCGGAAGCCAAGCGTCCACCTCTGGAACCTAAGGGGCCGCCTCCGCAACCAAGTGATGGTTCAGGACGAGAACAACAATGTCGAGGGCAGTCGCAAGGTTACTACGGTGACTACAACGATCGCGACCAATGGCGTGATGATCAACAGTGGTGGAGGTACTGGTTCACATGATATCTCGGCCATCCTCGTCTATTTCACGAACAACTCTCAGACATTGGCTGTGCCCACATTTTCTGTGCAGATTTCTTCAGTGGCATGATTTTCCTTTTCCAATACCAGGGAATCGCCATTGACGTAGCCATGTCTCACGCAGCTGCTAATTGGGGATGCTTGCACACGGTGAAACAACATCGAAGTTGCCTCGGAGCCAATCTTGAATTTTCAAGTCAAATCGCCGCTCTCTGCCTATGTGAGTAAAACCGAAGGTCTAACTCATGGGGGGTGCGAACAGACCTCGATGCCTCGTGCCATTGGTGGTGTCGCTATATGAGCTATGTAGAGTCAGTCATTGAACAGCTGTTGTGAACGTCACGGGCGACTTAGTTCGACCGTGTACGGGATCATTTGCTTGCTCCGCAACCTGGCAACTCTGGCTCAAGATACTTGTCATCTTATTGTTCGGTGAGGTGAGCAGTATCGACCATATCGATTACAAGCCCTGACGCAACTACTTCTACTGCGGTGTAGCATTGACAAGATGTGTTGCCAACTTAGAAATTGGAGTCTGCAGGGGGATGGAAAGTTCCAAATCCAGACTCTGGATGCCAGATAGGAAGGCCTGGAGAACCCACTATTTTAGCGTTCGTGGCTTTGGAAAAACCTTTAAAGGTTACCTTCCTGGTCCGAGATCCGAAGCAATGCAGCAGATAATCAGCCGATGCAATGAGCAGGTGATATCTTTCTAGCATCCCAGCACATCCGAGATGTGTGGATGGGGCAGCAATGGGTCGGCATGTACATGTTTCAATGTCCCGGGCTGGTGCTTGGAGGCTTTGTTATGTTGGCAATAATGGGAAAAATGGGTTGTAGGTCAGGTCAGGAGGTCATGGTCTGTCGTCCAAATGCAGCTGGCAAACGGACTTGCGTCTGGGAAAGCTGACAGGAGATGGTAGATGGCTTCGTTGCTGTGGCGAACGAGTGGTCTATGATGTTCCTAGCTTGCTTGGACAAATCATTTCAAACAGTTCTGCCGAAACCAAGTGTTGTGTACGAGCACGGCTGCCAGAGTTGCCTCGACTGCAAGTTTTGTACCAGTTCCCACTTGCTGGTACAACGGCTTGACGTGAGCAGGCAGCATTCCTCATTGTACAGTTTTCACGTCCACTAGTGCGACTGAGGTCTTCTGTGTTCAATGAGGCTATAAGTCTGGACCAGATTCCAACAGTTGATGTGGCACGGATTCTCGGCACTGTTTTGTGCCTTGCTGCTTTGGGAGGAACTGGTCTGAAAAGCGGCACACTGCGTGGGTGTCATGTTGACTCACAACAAGCAGTGCGCGGCAGCACTCGGTGGCGAGAGCCAGAGAGCGAGCGAGCGAGTTGTGGGCACCTGCGTATGCCCGCATGAGCAGAAAGGATTATCGTTTTCAGTTTGGGACTTCCGCTACTGAATCTTATACAGGTGATGATTTTCAGATGCTCATGTCCCAATTTGTAGGCTGGTGCGCGGGGGTTTGGACATAGAGTGATCAACTGGTTTCCTATGCAAGGTCGAACAAACTTCTGGCTCGGTCTTTGCAAAATGCTCAGCTGTCAGCAGTCACGTTTAGCTTGCTCATCTTGGATGCAGACGCCCAAGGATTGCGATCCTCACAGAAAGGTACCAGAGTGAGATGCACGACCTGCTGGTCGAAGTGGAGCAATCCGCTCTTCAAGCCGGCAGCACCCGCCCGCTGCTTCTCCTTGATGTGACTGAACCAAGATTTGGAGAGTTGATAGGAACTCATGTCGCCTTACATTCAATCGCAACGTAGGCATAGTGGGGGAACTTTTGTTTCGGACAACCCTGAAACCTTGGTGTCAATATCTTCTTCATGAGGGGCAACGGCACAGAGTGACACTGAAAGCGAGTGATGAGTTAAAGAAAGTCGCACCAAGCACTGGACAACACGGTAACGCAGCAGATGTTGACACAGCATCGCAGGTGATTGCAATGCAGCAGGTCCGCATTCAAGTGATACCGAGAGATGCTGCTTTGATCCACTATGGCTACGAGGTGGGCTAAGTCATGCAGATAGAAGTATCGGAAGCCTGCTTCCTTCTGGTTTTGTTCCCACGTGGCCCGCTCTCGCGCAGATCTGTGCAGGTGGCCATGATGTGGGAGAGGCTCAACGGCACCGCTCGAGACTTCCATCGTTCACACAGGGAGCTCATGTTGGGGACTTCAAGCACGCATCAGGGAACACACCGCTTGCTACAGACTCCAGGGTCCTTGGGCATGACACTGAAGCGTGTTTCCAACGTCTGCCTGGTTCGTGCAATGCGGTTAGTGGAGGATGAGTATTCGGCCATGGAGATCGCGGCCTACCAAGTTGCAAGCGGTGATACTGGAGCCTTCCGGACAGCGGAAATGTACGCGACAGCCGCGAACGACCACATGGTCGAGGCTGCATTTGGCTTGGAGAGGTATTACGACAACTTGAACGTCACTTGTGATGATGTGGACTTGCCTGCCGAAGATTGGCAGCTCCTCATGGAGGAGGTCTATGGCTTATGTTCCCTCACGCAGAGGGCTGTTGGCGAGTTCGTTTTGCAAGACCAGGGTGAGATCCTGCCTGATGTGTTAGAGCGTACTGTGGAAGATGTCGAGACCTCTTTCGAGAGCCTCATGCTTGGAAGATCCGTCCCCCACCTCCCGGCGCAGCCAAATCAGGAGGTGTTTTCAGACGTGCGGGATCTGGACTCCTTGGTCCAGGACTTCCTGGAGGCCATAACAAGCCAGACTATGTCGGGGCTATCCGGCCTGGCAGCTTCTGTCTGCAATGCAGCAGGTGAGCTTGGAGAAAAGTACCTTCAAGGAGGGTTAGTCTCTTCGGGTTCGAATTGGCCCGGCCGACGGGCGCAGGCACTTTTCCAGCAGATTGAGCGTTCCAACATGGCTTTCAGCTCCATGGTCCAGAACGAAGCCACTGCCATGTGGGAGGCCATCAACGGTTTCGAGACCACACATTCCAACCTTCTCAATGGAGGTGACGGCTTGCCGGCTATACTGCCAGAGCGGCAGGACATGAAGTTACAGTGGGAAGCCATCGACAGCGCATGGCAGGCCTACAAGCCGGCTGTGACTTCTGGCCAGGGCACTGGACAGATCACAATGACCTTGGACGCCGTGCAGGCGGAACTCCGTGCAGCGGTGCCGATCTTCAGCATTCCCGATGTGGTGATCGCAGAGACATCGCCATGGAGTCTGGGTTGCTACTGTTTCTAGCGTTTCCGTTTGGCAGTGCTGACAGTGAAGTGAAAGTTGTAGTGACAGCAGCAGAAGTAGACATAGAAGCAGAAGCAGAAGGAGATGCAGATGCGGAAGTAGAAGTAGAAGTACACGGAGTAGTAGTAGTAGTAGTAGTAGTAGTAGTCGTAGTCGTAGTCGTAGTCGTAGTCGTAGTCGTAGTCGTAGTCGTAGTCGTAGTCGTCGTAGTAGTCGTAGTAGTCGTAGCAGTAGCAGTAGCAGTAGCAGGAGCAGGAGCAGTAGCAGTAGCAGCAGTAGTAGTAGCAGTAGTAGCAGCAGTAGCAGCAGTAGTAGAAGTAGTAGTCGTCGTCGTCGTAGTAGTAGTA